TTATATATTAATGGAAAAGTTATTCTTATCAAGCATGTATTACAATCTCAACCAATTTACTTATTGGCTCTTCCAATGAGATTTTTCTGCAAATCAGAAGATACACAGCAAGATTCTTTTGGTGATCAAGTGATGAAAAGAAGAGACCATTGGAGTTCATGGGCTTAAATGTGTTTTCCTATTTAAGAAGGTGGAGTTAATTTTAGCAGATTGAAGGACAATATTGAGGCTTTGGCCATGAAAAGGTGGTAGAGGTTCAGGACATTGGAGTATGATATTCTACACGATTTAGAATTATATAACTTAGTTTTACTTTTACTTAAGTGAATCAAGTTGCCTAACGTGTTTCAATAAAGAGCTAAAGTAAAGTAAGAATAGGATTTTTAACGTGGAACACCCGGCTCAAAAAGTGTGAAAACCATGACTTGTTCCACAACAAAATTTACTCCTAACTTCACTTAATTCCAACAAGCCTTACACCAAAACAGATTACAAAAATATGAACCTAAGGAATAATCAGTTATTCCCTATGCTATCACAAACTTCCAAGATATGTGTTCTCAAGTCTCGAGCTGCTCACAACTTGAAGACTATGACTAATTCGATTTCTAACGCATTGAACTAACAATACATCAAGACTCAAATACAAAGAAAAACTTCCTAGAACATAAAATCTTTAGTAGGACGCATACCTCACAAAAGTCAATATGCCAATTGTCTTTTTTCTTTGCAAGTGTGTAAGTAATTAGGATGACTTCAACTCTATTTAAGCATAACCCTTCTTAGAGTTATTCTTCACATCAAACTCCACCTAACTCAAACTATCTTAGCTTAGAGTTCTACTTCAAATAAAACTCCTTCTTCAATTCAAACTCCTTGATTCTTTTGTGTTCTAGTTGAACTTCAACTCTTCCATTTAGCTCTTTATTGGTTTCCTTGATTTTATTAGAATCCCTCTTTATTCATTCCTTTGATTTTGACATTCATGCCTTATTCATTTTGTACACTTACCTCGGACTTCACTGCACGTAGGGGGACAATTTCACCCATATTAATGAAATGAGTCCATTTTGTTCATAGTTAATGACTTGAATCACTCATATTTTAATTGATTAAATATGGGCTTTAAGCTATTTTAAGAGTCTCTACAAATATGGTCAAATGGATTAAATATGGGTATTCATATTGACCCATAATAGATCACTTAGTTTTCACTTCCATTCAAAATTCTTAATTGTGCTAAAAAATAAAAAAAATTAATATTAATTTCAAAAATTCAATTAATTTTCAAACTTAATTGAAAAAATAGATTATTTTTTTTTGTTTTTGGAAAACAAAAAAAAATTAGGGTAGGTTGGTGGAAGGTGAGGGGCACCCTGGGGTAGGGGGTAATTTTTTTTTTGTTTTTGGAAAACAAAAAAAAATTAGGGTCGGTAGGTGGAAGGTGGGGTGGGAGTAATTTTTTTTTTGTTTTGAAAAAAACAGAACTTTTTTTGTTTTTGGAAAACAAAAAAAATTTAGGGGTAGGTTGGTGGAAGGTGTGTGGGGGGGGGGTGTGCCCGGGGGAGGGGGTAATTTTTTTTTTGTTGAAAAAACAGATTTTTATTTTTTTTGGAAAACAAAAAAATTTAGGGGTTGTTTCATGGAGGGGGTGGGGGTAATTTATTTTTTTTTGAAAAACAAATATTTTTTTTGGTTTTTGGAAAACAAAAAAAAATTAGGGGTAGGTTGGTGGAAGGTGGGGGGGAGGGGGGACGCCCCAGGGAGGGGGTAATTTATTTTTGTGAAAAACAGATTTTTTAAATGGGTTAGAACCATTTTACCCAAATCATATTTGACCAAATTCATATTTACCCATATTCTATTTGGGTGGATTTGTAATCCAAACCATTTTTGCTCAGTCCATCCAAATCCGATCCAATCCAACCATTTGTCACCCCTAACAACACGTGACATTATACCTTTGGACCATGCGGACTAACATATTTCATCTTTTCTTGTTGATCATCAAAACTTCATAAATCCAACAAATTCATCCCCATTTTTAATGACAGACTATTTGTTGTGCGTTCATGACATCTATACTAGTAAACATTTAAGCACCGCAATACTGAGATGAAACACGTTAGTCAGTGGGTTATGAATATTGCACAACCCTTTTCTTCTCTCTTATGGCATCATCGAAAAGATGAACTTGTAAGTAATCATGTTAGAGGGAATGTTTAAAGGGATACAAAGATGATTAATATTTTTATGAATACAAGTTACCTCAAGAATCGAAATATTAAATATATAAACTTATGCCGGGTTGAAAAAACAAATGAAATTTTTAACATAAAAAATATCTCTCTTTTACTCTTTAACTAGTTTTTGCCAATACTTTTAAGACAAAAATTTGCTATTATTTTTTAAATTAAAAATTATTAATTCGATTTAAAACTTGTGCTTAGTGCTTACATATCAATCCCTCGAGATTACTACTAGATAACTTTGGGCCTAAACCCAAATTCCAGTATGGACCAAGTGGAGTCTTATCTTTGCAATTGCATTGGGCTTTGAAGTTTGAACATCATTTCAAGAAAAAAACTTCACTACACACTCAGTTAACATCATAGATGACATATATCTTTTATATAATATGCTTTTATTATTTGATATTAGGTAATTATAATATATTTTCAACTCAATTCATTAGATAATCTTTAAATTTAGACTAATGCAATTATATTCTTAACTCATGACTTCGTTAATCTCTGGCCATGAAAAGAGAACAAGCTATCGCAAGAGATAAATTGAAGGAGAAAATTTAGGTAAAGGTCAACCTACGCAGAGTCGACTTAATACACAAGTTATTGAGTCAAGTGCTTTAGACCTCTAAATTTCGAGGGCTCACTTTTTTAATAGTAACTAAAAATAAAGTTAGGTGTATATGTCTTTTTTCTCTAAAAATATTGAATTAAGCTAGAAAATAGTTTATGATAGTAATTAATCACCTATGCTCAACAAACTATTCCAAGAAACAACTGTTCCCATGTCCAATAATTTTGAGTTTAATTATTAAAGCAACTTTTGTGTGTGATCTTAAAATATTTTTACTAATTGACATGAGTACTGGTGCATGAGATACATGTGTGACACACGTAGAAACTAGTTTTCTTAGATATATTTGAAATCTCTCATTAAAATTTGTCTTTAGATTATCAATTTCATTGAACTGCTCCTCAACCTACGTTATGATTTACGGATGTTCAAGCATCCTTAAGTCATACGCGGCCCCTTAAAGTTGTCCGCATTTTTCATTTAGACACCTCAATTTAGCCTTGTACCTATCAAACACTTAAATCTTAATAAATTTATACCTATTTGACACAAAATCACAATAAGTTGAAAAATAAATATGCGTGTGTTTCAAACTCCTGTACATAACAAACATACCAATAAAATGATGACACATGGCATTGGATCCAACTTTTTAAAAAACTCTATTTTAATAATCCAAAATGAATATTAAGAAAATAAAATTTTATTATTTTGAATTACCCTCCCCACCCGTCTTCTTCTTCAGAACCTATTTCCATGGCCCTTCCATTGACGCCGATGCCAGCACTAGCAGCCTAGAAAACCATCACCCGACCTCTTTCTTTTCCCCCCTTGAATCAACCCACATCTTTCTTTCCTCCATCGAATCTTACTCCTTTCATTAGCGTCGGTAGTACACCATTGATGTCCACCTAAGCTAAATACCCATTCTCTTTCATTTTAATAGCATCAAAGCCTTCTATTCATTGTCTTTATCTTTTTCCAATTAGTAATCATTAATCACAATTACAACAGATAATAATAAACTTTTGCCCGAAAAAATCAATTCATATTTTTTCCATCGGTATGAATGGAGCTTCACCGGAATATTGAAGATGTAGATCTACATAAAAAAAAGAAAAAAAAAAAGAAGAAGAATTGGAGAGGATGAGAGAAGAGAGGTGGAGGGGGTGGGGTGTGCTGTGTAAAAAAAATTATGGATGAGAATGGCACAGGGAATTGGGCTGGGGAAGAAGACTACTTTTTTTTAAAAAAAAAATTCCCTTTCCGTTAATTTTGGTATATAAGTTACGGAAAAAAAAAGAAAAAATATTAATTTCAATAGTTTTATGCGCCTAAAGAGAGTGTAGCACACATTTTTAGACAAGTCAGTATTTTGTGTCTAATAGAAATGACTTTTGAACAAATAAAGTGTTCAATAGGTACAAAGATAGGTTGAGGTGTTCAAATGAAATATGCGGACAACTTTAAGGATTGCATATGACTTAAGCCATTATTTTATTGTTAAAAAATGGTTATTTATGCAAGTATATGATATTGTTGAGCATTGAAGCAATTTAAAAAGTAAACATTCATAATTTAAGAAATCTATAGCAAATTAAAAGGAACTATTTACAACTTCTCAATAATACATACACCACATGACATAGATAATTATTTTACGTGTTTCCAATTTTATTTATTTAAAATGATTTAATGTCAACAATGACAAATGCATGCCCTAATTCCAAACAGACATACATCAATATATTGTTGAAAAAACCGTGTCAACTTTTTCAATAGTTTGAAATATCAAAAAAGGAAGCAAATGGTTCTAAAAAGAACATACAATATATGTATTGAAGTTGAATTATAAAGCTATAATATGTATAATATTAAGCAAGTCAGTTTTGACACGAAATACATCTACCTTTAACCTTATAACATTTACTTAACAATTAAAGGAACATGGACCCATAATAAGATTAAGAACAAGAGGAGTTTGAGAAAATAAGAGCAGGTTAATTGTTCTGCCGTTTTTGCTTTCTATTTGTTGATTTTGTACATGTTTATGATTAATATAAGAATCCTTCTCTACTACCTATTCTAAAGGAAGAGTAATCCTTTTGTTACAAGGAATAAGCTACAATAATCGAATTCTAGTTGATGATGGACTCTAATAGCTCCCTGCAAGATCATGTTCAGGAGTGAACCATGAGCTTGGATCGAAGATTGAGGAACCGACTTGTGCCAACAACTTTGGTAAAGATATCTGCAATCTGATTTTGAGATGAAACATAGCGAACCACTAAAGATTGATCTTCACCAATCTCTCGGATAAATTGATAATCAAGACAAATATGCTTTGATCGTTGATGGATGACAGGATTCCGAGATAAAAATTGTGCACTAAGATTATCACAAAGGACTATGGGAGGTGCAGTGAGAGGAGCACGTAGTTCACTGATAAGTTGTTGTACCCAGATTAATTCAGTAGTTGCAAAGGCTAATGCACGATACTCAGCTTCAGTACTTGAGCGGGCTACAACCTTTTGTTTTCGCGAAGACCAACTGATTAAGTTACCTCTATAGAATAGTGCAAAGCCATCTTGGGAGCGACTATCATCAAGATCAGAGATCCAACCAGCATCCGAAAAGGCCACAAGACTAGAATCAGACATAGGTCGTAGTAAGAGGCTATCATGAATGGATCCTTTTAGATATCGAAGTATGCGTTTGATAGTTGACCAATGAGCAATAGTGGGCGATTGCATAAATTGCCATACTCGATTGACTGCGTAGGATATTTCTGGCCTAGTGATGGTAACATATTGAAGAGCACCAACAACACTACGATATAAATGAGCATCAGGCAGAGGATCACCAGACAGAATACGTCGCAATCCAAGTTCAGTCGGACTAGAAATAGGCTTAGCATCAGCCTTGTTTGTTCGACGAAGTAAGTCACGAATATACCTGCCTTGAGATAAAATGATCCCATTTGATGTTAGAGAGACTTCAATACCAAGAAAATAATTTAAGGAACCAAGATCTTTGAGAGAGAATTGTTGATCAAGAGTGTGAATAAATGTAGTGATGAAATCACTATCACTACTAGTTATAATAAGGTCATCCACATAGACAAGAACATATGTCATATGCTTAGAAGCTTGTTGCACAAAAAGAGAAGAGTCAGATAAATAAGAGTGGAAGCCAATGCCAAGGAGAAAAACCTTTAACTTATTGAACTAAGCACGCGGTGCTTGTTTGAGGCCATATAAGGCCTTGTTCAATTTGCATACGAAATGGGGCCAATGGGGATCAATGAATCCTTTCGGTTGCTCAATAAACACTTGCTCAGAGATATCACCATTTAAGAACGCATTGTTGATGTCAAGTTGTCGAATAGACCATTTGTTTGTCACAGCCAAAGACAAGATTAGTCAAACAATTATGGGCTTAAAAATGGGACTGAAAGTATCAAAGTAATCAACACCCTTATCTTGGTGAAAACCTTTAGCTACAAGACGAGCTTTGTGACGTTCAATTGATCCATCGACTTTCCTCTTAATCCTGTAAACCTATTTACAACCAACAATGTTAAAGTTAGACGGTGGTGGAACTAATGTCCATGTCTTATTTTGCATAAAAGCTAAAAAAATTGTCTGCATAGCATGGTGCCACTCAGGAAATTTGGAGGCTTGATGATAGGTTGTAGGTTCTGGAATGTGATAGGGATCAGGAGGTAGAGAATGGCGAGATGTTATAAGAGTTTTTGGTTTTAGGGAATTGGTTTTACTTCGAACAACCATATGATGCAACTGGAATATTTGATAATGACCTTGGAGCGATAGAATGTGTAGGTGAATGTGAACGCACTAGATGTTGAGAAGCTTGATCGAGTAAAGAGAAAGATGTGTTGCTAGAATGTGACGAGGGATAAGAGTATTTTGTGATCGACTACATAGAGGAATAAGGAAAAGTATTTTCATCAAATACAACGTGGCGAATAATATAGATTCAAGAGGATGCAACATGATAACATAGGTAACCTTTGTGATGAGAACTATACCCGATAAAGACACAAAGAAAAGATCGAAAATCAACTTTATGATGATTGTAGGGTCGAAGAAAAGGATAACAAAGGCAACCAAATTTTTTAAGAAAACCATAATCAGGAGAACTTTTGTACAGTAATTGACATGGAGATTTATAAGACAAAGAATAAGATATGGTAATATTGAATAAGTACGTAGTAGTGTTAAAGCATGCTCCCAAAATTGAAAAGGAAGAGAAGCATGAGAAAGAAGAGCGAGTCCTTTTTCAATTATAATTCGATTCGGCTTTCCTATGCACCATTTTGTTGAGGTGTATAAGGACAAGAGATACAATGACGAATACCATGATTTTGTAAAAAAAGATGATACATTTTTGTAACACCCCGGGAATTTTTTGAGCTAAGACTCGAACCATCCTTCGTTGTGAGTAGGATTTTATCAAGGAATTTAAAATTTCTTAAGTATTAAGGTCAGGTCACTAGATGTAGCACCTTGAGTTCCAAAAAGAACTAAATTGGAAATAGCAAAATCTGAAATTTTGCAAGTTATGAGTTTGTGTCAACTTCAAACGACTATAACTCTCAGTACATGATGAGTTAGGTGTGCCATGAGATGGAAAATGAAAGGTCTTTGAATTATCTTTCAAACACCACCGAGCTTGCTAAGTTTCGAGGTAGGATGAGTGAGATATGCCCTTTTAAAGTCAAGTTGTCCAGTTAAGGAAGTTACCAGAAAATAGTAAGGGGTATTTTGGTATTTTCCTTACCCAGTCAGATTTAATTTATTTTTAGTAAGTTTTTAAGGTTGTAATCCTATTAGGTTCAGTTTTATAATCCTAATATACGCCTAGGGTTTTAGTTGAGAGCTCAAGAAGAGAAAAGAGGAAAGGATCAAGACGTTCGTCGAGGTTCTTGAGTTTTGTTGCGGATTTTCGCCATGGGTTTGATCCCTAAGAGGTATGTAAGCATCCATAGTGTTGGGTTCATTCACCCACACGCCAATCATGTTATTTTCAGCGCAAATCTCATTCTTGAAGTTGAAAAATTTGAGTTCATGATAAGTGTTCTTGAAGTTTCCTTATTGATTAAGTTTTGATGTAAGATTCTACTTGGGTCAATTTCAAACGACCATATATCTTAGAATATAAAGAGTTACGTGATCCATAACATATCCAATTAAAAGTATTTGAATCTACTTTCCAACGCCACCAATTTCGTGTCAATTCAATTTTTGAGTAAAAAGTTATGACTATTTTAGTAACATATACAGTGTTGTTACGAATTAACCGACGGGAAAACATTAAAAGGAGTCGTTTTTGTCTTTTTACCTCCAAGAAAACCCTAAATGAATTTCTTGACTAATAAAAGGCTCAAAACAATCAGATTTTCGTCTTTAGTAATGAAAATCATAATTCTTGGCCATAGAGATTTCTAGAAACTAATTCAAGAATCTCAAGAAAGGTTTTCTTGATCGTTTACCTTCAAGCTAAAAGGTTTCTAATCAAGTTCTTCTTGAAGATTCTTCAAGAACCTTGTTCTTCCAGGTATGTAAGGCTATCATAGTGTTGGACTAGTTCGTCCTCACGCCCTACATCTACTTTCATATCAGTAAAAGAGTATTCTAGGATAGTTTCCCTAGATTTGAGTATTCTTGAGATAAGTTGATTTTGAGTTCTTAAGTTCGTGTTTCTTTTAAAATTTCTATTCCTAATTATCTAATTGCTATATTGTTAGCGGGATCCTTCATATCATGAACCACATATAACTCTTGGATCATAATTCACATTCAAGGGAGAGTTAAGAGTAGAGTTCAAGTAAGTATTTGAGTTCAATTGTGGATTCTTTGAGATCAACTATCAATTTGAGCTAAGTTTTGAGTAAGTAAGTATGAGAATGAGAAGAGCCATCTACCTAAGTGAAATGACCCAAAAAGTTCTTAAAAATGTGCTTCGGAAGTTACCGGAAACTCTACCTCTACGAGGTAGTGGCAAGGTCTGCGTACACTCTACCCTCCCCAGACCCCACCTAGTGGGATTTCACTGGGTATGTTGTTGTTGTTGTTGTTGGAAGTTACCGGAAACTTGTTTAGCTATATATAAAATAAAAAAAAATCCGTTTCGTTTTTCGAAAATCTGACTTCATATTCTTGTTTAGGGGGTCAAATTGAGTGGAAAATGGGTCTAACCCAAATTTTAGAGCAACCGTATCAAAATTCGAAATTTCCAAGTGAAGCCTTTTTCGAGGGTCTACTTTGGAGGGTCATATCTCCTAGCACACAAATTATTGGGTGGCCAATAACATATCCATGGAAAGCCCTTTGAGTTAGATACCTAACGCACTTCGTTTCACCTCATTCGGAGTTCGGACGAAGAAGTTATGCCCATTTTTGTAAAATCTGTCCGGCAGGAAAGGCAATTTCCAGTGAGCGTTTTTACTGTTCACCCGCCTCATTTTTTTTTTCCAAGTGTTGGACCATTTTTTCAAAGGGCATATGTTATTTCCTATATACCATTAGTTCAATTCCCATCTCTAAAACATTTCCCAAAACACCTCTCCCATACTTAGACACATTTTCTCTCAAGTTCTCTCAAGAACCCTAATCCAAAACCTTCCTCAAGATTGAAGAGACTCTTGCTCCAAGTTCCAAGCTTCCATTGAAGACACTCTCAAGACCTTCATAAAAACTCAAGGTATGTGGTGTTGAACTCATGGGTCCTTCCACCCATAGTGCCTAGACTCTATTCTACTCACTAATTCATGGTTTAAGTTAAGATTCATAAATTAGTCTTGTTCTTTGTAATAATTTCCTGCACATTGAATTTTAAACATGATAAGTGATTGTTTTGAGCATGTTGTGACTCTAGAACTTGAACCTAAATTTGGAATGGATGTGGAGATTTTCACGTGGTATTGTGGGTGTTAAAAAGGTGTTGTTGTAGGTTGTTCACTGGTTTGGCTGCATAATTACTACCCTATTTTCCATGCTCTTTGATTCCATTACATGCCTTCAAGGTGTTTGACAAAATGTCCAACTATGGAGAATTGATGAATCGATGCTTTAAAGCTTGAGTTATGAGATATATGGAAATCCAGAGATGTGTTGATGACAAACTAAGCTTGTGTATATGTTCATTCCATACGTGAGATTGCATTAGAGCCTAATGGGAATTTCCTATATAAAGTGTTGCATGACCATGCCCGGTCCGGGGGAAAAGAACCGGACAACCATGTGAGAGGTTTATATCTCACCACCTAGGATGCTTGGGGTGTGACCAACATCAACCATGTGAGAGGTTTATATCTCACCACCTAGGATGCTTGGGGTGTGACCAACATCAACCATGTGAGGGGTTTATACCTTGCCACCAGGGTGTCCGGGTGTGAACGGCATCCCCCATCCTAAGTTGGGGTTATAGATTGGTTGGATCATGCATACACATATGATATCTACTATTAGTATAGATTTACTTAAACATGTTTTGACTTCACTTTGATCATGCATCCTCATATTGTTATTCATAATGCCTATGAAACTATTTCTTGTATTTCGATTGTGTCATTGTCTATTGTTGTGTTGCACCCCGCATACTTAGTACATTCCAAGTACTAACGCATATTTTGCCTACATGATGTCACCATGTAGGGACCGGAGCTACTCTTGATTCTTCTCTCCATTCACGTGGCTAGTACGGTGCTTATCCGAGTTGTTGGTGAGTCCTCAGTGATTCGAGGGCTATGTTATGTTTCCTACTCCTATGTTTTGAGACTTTAGCTTGCAATTGTATTTTGACTATGAGGGGAGCCGGTAGTATGTCATGGCCCTGTCCTATCTATGTATGTAGAGGCGTGCGTTGGACAAGTATTTTGTAAATGAGCTTGGCTCTTGTTCTATGATGTCATTTTGAAATGGTTTGCCCTTAGTCCCTATTTCCCGTTAAATAAATGTTGAATGTACTTCCGCGACCGATGAAGTGTGATGACAAGTTTGAGAGGCTTGTTTGGGGTTCCTTCGGGTTCCTCATTCGCCATGTCACGTCTAGGCCCTAGGCTTGGGTCGTGACACTAAGTTCCTTTTTGATATTTTGACCCTTGAGTCAAGTC